TCTCAAAGACAGCATACATCTACACCACTTCAGCCTGGGTATGCCTAATTCATACTGCTGACAGTTTAGGTTCAGGAGAGTCTATACGTGATCGCTCATCCCTTCCTGGTTTGGTAGTGGAGATGAAAAAGGACTGATCTACTCAGTGGGAGTCGTTGGCTTGGTTTTGGTTTTGTTCGTTTATTTGAAGTAGCAAGGTCCTTAACTCAAAGAATTCAGTTTAATAATTCTCAGCTTGCTGGCATAGCCTGGGTGCCTGTGCAGAGCTGTGCAGTCACTTACGCACTCATGGGTCTCCTGTTTCAGTTCCTCTCCTACCCGGCTTCCCCTGCCCCCATGCAGCCGTGCCCACCATCTCAGAGTCTCTGGTCTCGGCTGCATGGCTCCCCTGGTCTTTCCCTGCGAGCCTCGCTGCCAGCTCACTCCAGCTCTCCCATGCACGCCTGCTCTCTGTCACACCAGTTTTCCAGTTCCTCTTCTGAGCTGCTTTGTGTCCAGCCAGCGTCCTGGTTTTCCTTTCTCGGTGTGCTGTTCCAGGAAATGCATCAGGCTGTCACCATGGCTTCTGCTGCAGAAGGGGAGAGATCCCGTTCCCCTCCCTGGCTCCCTGCATCCATGCTGCTTTGCAGCAGTGCTGGGTGCTCATCAGACCCTTCATGTAAGCCAGCTTAATCAAATGACATAAAATTGTGCCAGCAAAATAGTTTTCTTCGAGGAGAATGAATGAAATGGGTTTGCGGAAGGGCTAGGCACATGCAAGAGGGCAGGGAGGAGAACAGTGCAGCAAGCACCAGGAGAGCAGCAGCAGCTTGGAGCCCTCCATCCACTGCATCCCTTTTGGAGAACATTCCCCTCTGGGGTCTGTTCCCTTAGGGACCCTCTTGGTGGCAATGCTGCTGCAAGAGATGTGGGCGCCTGGAGCTGCTCTTCCCTGGTTTCAGCACAGTCCCGTGCAGGTTCAAAGCGAGCGTGTAACCAGAGCTTCAGGAGGTGCAACTTGAAATTGCCGGCATCCCTCTCAGCCCGCTCTCTTCCCAAAGATTTATTTTGAGCAGACTGTTTGTATGGCAATGAAAAGAACAACCCTGGAAAAAACCTGCGTTCCTAACACATTTCAAGTCTGTGCTAAAATAACCAGGGAAGAAAATTCCTCACATAAACATATGCTGGAATTTTTACATAGACAGGGTATGCATTTTTTCCCAGCCATTGGTCTTGGAAAGGGCTGAAGGCACAATTTTTTTTCATTGAGCTTTGGGCAGACGATAGGTGATACATAAGGCCAGGCAGTTAGTTGAGAGGGATGTGGAAGCACAATCTTTATAATGAGAAGTTTTAGTAGTGGATAATGCTGTTATCCTCAGCTATAAGAACTGAGAGTGCTGTCAAGCAGCATTTTAATTCTTTTATTTTTAAATTTCAAACTTTTTTTTCAATTCTATTAAAAGATGACCAAACATTCTTGTTTGGATCCTAATAGGTTGTGTAAAGTAGGATTTAAAAACTTCTATATGCAGTCCATTGGGAGAAAAAACAATTGGACACTGAGTGTATCATGAACCTTTTCATGGCGATGCACTGGTTTTAATTGGGGGGAGAATCAGATTTGTATATCTGAGATATGAGAAAGAGCAAATGAATTAATAGGTTCAGTACACAATATCCCGATACAATCTACATATATATTTAGTGACAGAAAAAGGCATAACAATTTCTTAGTAGAAAAGATAATAAGGATTTTTTTTTTTTTTAAAGAAAATGTATTTGGTCATAAACTTTTACGGGGTGATTTCTATGGGGTGTTGCTTTCTCTCGCCATTAGCAGCTCTGAAATCGTTTACCTGCAACTATAGTCTACTCTTGCACGAGGTGAAGGGGACTCGTAGTAACACGCCCCCTTTTTTAAATAACTTTAAACACGGTGCAGAAGCAGTGACGGGTGATGAGCAAGACGGAGGTGGCTGCGCCTGCCCCTGGGAGGAGGCTGCGGCGTGTTGGGAGGTCTGAAAGCACCCCAGTGCCAGGATGATAAGGGGGCTGTTACCCACTCCTCAGTCACTTGTTGCCTGGGAGACAAATGTAATCCAGGATTCCCCCCCCCCACTTCCTTGCTGGTTTTTGATTGGAGCCACTATTGACTTTTGGCTTGGAGGAGGTAGCGAAGCAGCATGCCAAGTGTCATAAGATGGGAATTAATCACTAACCGATGGGCCTGAGTTCCAATGATTTCCTTTCCCGTGATTGTTCTGTATATGGGAAGACTAATGACACATCTAAACAGACAGTTAACGAAGCTCTTCACACCTCTGACAGTCAAGAAGGATTCTTAACTGGATGACACTTCAGTTTCCTTTTTATTTCTGCTCTCTTGTGTGATTGTGGGGAAACAAAAGTAACTATCTTAAAAAAGGAATTTCACATGGTTGGAGAGCTTTGCCTTAAATTGCATTTGTTTTTGCTGCTAAATTATAAGTCAACTCAGCTGCGTGAAAATACAGCAAATTTGTCTTCTCAGTGTTTCTTTTGACAAAGAGTACAGTCCTTCTCGATACTTTTTTTGTGAGAGAGTTTCTGTTTTTCAGTGAGATTATTTTTGGCTTTTTGCAAGAATATGGGCAAGCCAAACAAATTTAGCTTAACTGTAATTAAAGGTTTTGAAGCTACTCTTCAGTAGTGACTTCATCTTCTTGTAAGGCCCTCAACTTCAACTAACTCCGATGGGTTTTGGGGGGTAGTCTCTTCCAGGTAAAAGAAAAGTCTGTCATGGAAGTAAAGGAAAAAACAGAGAAGTTCAGAAACAATATGTTGTGTTCCAGCAAGTACAAATAAGGTAGCTGGTATTCAAGTGTAGCTTTTTTTTTTTTAAGCTTATCCCATGCTGTAAGGAGTAAGGAATCCAGCAAAGGTTTTCTCCTGAAAAACGTTCCTAGTTTTGCGTGTTGCTTGCTTAAAAGGAAATTTTATGTTCTTCTTGCTCTGACTCTTGGATGGAGCATGGAAGTGGAATTTGAGAGGTTTGGATTCTATTTTTGACTCTGTCCTTTGCCTAAAAAGTCACTTGCTAGGCTTATCGTGTCAAGTCTGTGGCTCACTGTCCGATGTTTAAAAGAGGGCTAAACACAACAGTCTCCTTTTCGCAAATTGGTTTGAGATGTGTGGTGCACAGCTTCCACCACTGACACCAGCAGTGGATCTTTCAGTCATCTGCTGTAGTGCTTTACTGAGATGAAAGCCCATGAGCCTCGCTTGCTTTCTCTCCCTAGCCCCTTGAATCTTGGGCTTTTTGGCCATGCAAGGGCCCTGCTTCACCTTGAGAGTGTCACCCGTTAGACTGTTCAGAGGACTTCTGGTAGAGTGCCCATAGGAAGCAAGGGGAGAGACAGGCTTAAACCCTGTCATCCTGAAGAGGCTTGGCCCCATGTTCCTGGTTCCACCAGAGCTGCGTGCAGGAGATGGTTCCTTCTTCATCCCCCCCCAGCAGATGTGCTTGCTTCTGAAAGAAAGTGGTCATGGCTCCTATGGGTTGTGCCAGCCCCTCTCCTTTTCTTTCAAGCCAGGTTTCACATGGTGCTGTGAACTTGCTAGGTGCTCCCACACAGCCACTCAGCGAGGTTGGGGAAGATTTTTCTTTTTCATTTTTCTGTGTTTTGAGGGGAGAATTTAGTGCCTGTTCTCTGCCTGTGAGCTCAGAAGGAGGTCTGTAAGGCGCTTCGCACATTGCACTGTGTGTCCTAAAGCCATCCGTGAGGCAGAGGAATGCTTGGGAGTTGGTAGAGCTCCACAAAGATGACAAGTTTTCGAAAGGAAACAAGCGTCTGTTTTTGGTCTCCCTTGTAGCTTTAGCAAATAATATCCCACTTTTGGTGTGATTTGTGTGTTTGTTCTTTGACACATGAAACCGAGAGCCTTGCTCTGCTCATAGAAGTTGTAGTTGAGAAAAGGAATGGTCCTGGGTTGCGAAGTGGCTAGAGGTGGTAGTGCAGCCTTCCCTGCTTGTACTAGAAAACATCAACGTTTACCAAAAGTCTTATCATAATGCCTTGAAAGCTTTCCAGTGGAATTCAGTCAATAATTAGGACTGGTGTTTGTTTTTACGTATGCTCCAGCAGACCAAGGCTGCTCCTGAGCTATCATTTTGTATGCTTTGATAGTGGAGCTGAGGAGAAGTTGTTTTTCTGTTTGAGAACTCACACAAAACAACTCAAAATATCTGCACCGTGACCTCTGATGGGATTGAGACAAGAACTGAAATTGCACTGCGCGTAACTGCAGAATAAATACTGAATTTTAGTGTAGTCTTCACATTACAGATTGACTGCTTGAGTTGCTCTGTGTGTCCAGAAAGGGTAATTACAGTAACTGTTGTTTTAACGGATCACAATTTCGCAACACCCTTAAATGGTTTAAACTCTTATTATATTGTGGGCTTTTTTTTGTTGTTGTTTTGGGTTTTTGGCGTATTTTTTTTCCCCGTAGGGGAGAAAAGATGATTAATTTTCTCTTGTAGTATAATGGCACTGATGTCATGTGGTCGAAGGATTAAGTCCTTTTATTTTTAAAACAGTTGCTAGGGTGTTTAAACCCCTCCTTTCTAGCTCTGTTTCTTGTTAATATAACAGCAAAAGGAAAAAAATCACTTTTGAAAAGAATTTACTTCAACATTTCCATTTAACAGTAACTGTAGCTTCTTATTTTTCCAGTATGGGGTGATGGGGAAATTGCCAGATATTATTAAATCATATTAACTGGTAATGGGGGGGAGGGGAAGGGGAACAATCAAACATTCATTCTCACTTTTTTCCCCCAGAAGTGTGATTTAAATCATACAGTTGCAATATGTTACAAATGGAGCAATAATCTCTGGCAAGCAAACTATGTTCCCTTCTGTCTGACAAAAAACCCAAACTCGCTGCTTTTCCTGACAAATACTGCTAAATAAATAAGGCTATGCCATTAGATCAAATATTTGATTTTTTTTTTTAATTCTGTTTTCTTTGCAGAGTATTGGAAAGGGGTCCTTGTGGTGTATAGACCCAGAATATAGACAAAATCTTATTCAGGCTTTGAAAAAGACACCCTATCACCCATATTCGCATGTGTTCAATACACCTCCCACATCTCCTCAGGCATATCAAAGGTAAGAACTAGATGCATTTTACGACTCTAAATGTTTTCATCCAGCATTGCGTATGAAGCTTGGGTAAGACGTTAAATGTAATTAAGCGGTGCAGTTCGGAAAGGGGCTAGCGAAGAAAACCCAGGAGCACTGGCGGCAGCCTGGCCTTGCTCGGCGTGGGCCTGGGACGCCTTACCTGCCTGTCCTACGCATGGCAGCGGCGAGTCCCCCGAGGGGAGCTTGCAGTCCTGCCCCCGCGTGAGCCACGGAGCCTTCTGGCAAAAGAAGGCCTGAAATTAGAACCTGTATAAGCAAACGGAGAGCTCTGAAGTGTCCGCTTATCCCCTTTGCAGTAGGTGAGAGCATAGTACCCTTGCTCAGAGGAGATGGGCTCGGTTTACCCCCGAGTGTGCTGCGAGGCCTGCGTTGCCTGTGCAATCGTCGGGTCTCCAGGCGAGCCCTGCGCCCGGTGACTCCAGCAGCCTTTGTTGTGGTTACCCGCTCCCTGCGCAAGTGCCTGCCCTCAGGCTTGT